TATATACACATAAAATAAATAATTGAAACATTACATCATATTTCGAACCAAGATGTTGCATGAAATAATGCTAGAGTTGTGTGTTGAAATACGAGCAGTGCATGTATGGTACAGAACATCTGTTTGGCGAGAAGCGTGCATTCTTTTGTCAACAGCCAGTGCTCTATGTTTTGTTTTGTTTGTGTGTGTGTGTGTGTGTGTTTTTCTGAGAGGTTAGGTTTGCGTTTGAACAGCCAGAGTATGAGCATAACGTGATAACCTGTCTCTGTCTGAATCTTCATTTGGATAAAAACTGCTTAGGAAATACTAATAACTCTTTATATGTAATCTACCAGATACTAGCGAGTACTAATGGAAAAACTGCCTAAAATATTAACATTTTTGTGCCTTCTGAGAACAGGCTTGATGGCATTTTGTGAAGATGTGAAAATTAAACTAAATTGAATTCGTGCATGAGCTCGGATGTTGAATTTGCTTAAATTAGACTTTTTTGCAAAAATGCTAACTTCATGTCAAAATATCAAACTCCTCAGATGTTTGTGTCTGAAACTCAACCTAATATGATTGCTGTTCTCTGTCCTTGGGTAACAAACTTCGCTGAAACTACAGTAACCTCCCAAAACATAAATAATTGCGTATCAACGCTTTTGTTAAGAAAACAAACACATGCAATCATACAAAATAAATAATATATATATTATAAATTATTGAATAAAAGGGGAAATATATCATTAAAGCAAAAACAACCCCGTAATCAGGCATAGCATTCTAAAGTTTTCTGAAGGAGGGGGGGGGGATGGCGTCACATCGTAGAGCCTCAATCTTAATAAATGTGTTTCTTGTAAAACATGCATTTGTTGATCTTGTTCTTTTTCTCAATAGAGGGTGTATTTATCGGAACCAAAGGGATTTTTGGCTATTTTTTCTGTCCATCCGCTATCAATAAGCATATATTCTACGAACAAGGCAATTGTTTACTGATCAGTTTAGCTTTATTCGATTATTTCGAAAATCCAGTAATTTTTTACTCTTCTTTTCTATCAAAATCTGCGCATGAATATCGCATAGGAGTTTTATACAATTTCGACACATGGTGTTCTACGATTTAGTTGTTGAGTATAGTCTCAAATATGAAATTACATAACTATAGATATAGAACCTCGAGTTTAATTGGAAATAAAAGTAAGGCTTTAAGTACATTTCTAAAGAAATGTTTTCTGTATAATTCTGATCGTATTGAATTTTCTGGTGTTAAATCTTTAACCACTGATATTACATTCAGTATACATTGAAAATCAATCCAAACAATGAGCATGTGCAGACATCTACATATATATACGTTTGTTCTTTTATTAAAAGATGCCCCTATTTCGAAGCTGTGGCTTGAGTAATTACATTCAACTAATCGTAAAACATTTTCATTAGTTTCTCTTGACTTTTGCATTAGACGTTTCACGTTAAAATATATTCTCAATTTTTTAACTTAACTCATTGCTACATTTATAATTCTTGTATCTCATTTCCTATCTGCAGTTGACATAATACTCATATTACAGAATATTTACAACGATAAATTTATAAATTGTAAAATGAAAAATTTCAAAATTTTTCATTTTTTTCTCATCTAGAAATTACATTTGCTCATTTCTTCACCATAGGCAAATCAGTGATTTTATTATTCAAACTGTTAGTTCGTTCTTGTGCGTATCTCTATTTTAATACAGATATCTACATGTATGAGTGTCTACAGTGTATTAAAAGTCTACTACATACCAAGTCCTACAATCTATACTATATTCAAGCAGCATATACCTACTTTCACATTATTTTTTTAGAACGTTTTAAACCATTAGAAAACTGGTTGAAACAAATCTTCGCTAAAAACTCTTTCATACACTTCAGAATTTCTTTCTAGTCAGATAAATAGACAAACTTCTGTGTTACAGATTTTCTAAAATGTTGAGGCTCCCAATCTCGAAATTATCAAATCATTCATCTCCACTTTTAAAGTCTACCGAAATAAATAAACGTTATGTGTACTTTCACTTCTTTACATTGAATTACAAATCTAAATATAATATTAACAAACTGATTTCCACCTAAATCCCAACTATAGGCAACCTGCACTTCACAACTATAGGCAACCTACACTTCACAGCTATAAACAAACCCGCACTTCACAACTATGGGCAACCTACACTTCTCAGCTATAAAAAACCCTGCACTTTACAACTATAGGTAATCTACACTTCACAACTATAGGCAACCTGCGCTTCACAACTATAGATCACCATACGCTACACAACTACAGATAACTTTACACTTCACAAAGTAACTAGTAAAGCACCTTTTAGCCATTCAATCTACAACATATATGCATGGAAGTCTCCAGGTTTCACATTTTTATGGTTTCGTTAAGTTTACACTTTACTCTAGCATAACGTTAACCTGTGCCAAGCTGTTATGATACCTAAAGTTTCACTGAATACTTCTTGCTTGTTTGAAATATGATAGTTTTAATGTACATAGGAATTAGTACTTATAACAATAAAGACGAAAAAAACATTTATAAATATAACTATATGTATACATGCAATGAAATACAATATGAAAATTATACCACATAAGTGACAAATATTTGAATCCCAAAGCAGTAAGTCCTACTTTACATGTATCGTAGTATAATGAACTATTGCAATAAACAGTTATAGACATTTGCGAAAGTATGTACATTACCTTTATTTCCGTATTTTTACTTTTTTGGTTTCTCATGGTAATATTAACACTTAAAAGTTCTTGGTAGCAAGATTTGTTGTTAAATCTTGCATTGCCACTGGTAAAGATATTAACGGCTATTAGTGTTCAGTAATATTTTTTCTTTGCATTTTAATTCGTAGGTTGTTAGTGTCAGCAATAATGGCTATAATAACTCAAAAGTCATATTTATTGTATTTTGATCCTTGTGTTGTTAGTGGCAACAATAACGACTATAAGTATTCAGAAGTAATATTTGGTGTATTTATATTCTTGTGTTGTTAGTGGCAACAATAATAAAATATAATTGACAAGTCAACTTTTCCAAACGATTTGCCAGTTTTTAATAATAGCTGGTCTTGATTTTAAGGAAACATTTACCGTCAGTTAGCGAGAATTAATGTACAATACACTCAGACATGAGAAAAGTAATCATTCCCTCTATATACAGATAAATATTGACCAAATATTCGATTAAACCTCAACGTTCAGAAAATTTATTTTTCCGTTTACTTAGATTACGTTCGTTCAAACTCGATTTCATGTCACTGTTTTCATTTAACGCCCTTTAGAAGCGTTAATCCGCCCATAAAAATGCATCGAACGTCTGGTAATTTCTCATGCTACTGGTAATCTCCTATGCTTTTCTGTCTTAGGCTATCTAGAAAGTTATTATTTCTTAAATGAGTGGTATAAATAGTGTTTCAACTAAGACTTTGTAAGGTTTCTAAAAATGCATGAACCACTTATTGAACTGCAAAATATAATTGAAATATTAATACCAATAAAATAGTTATTTATTAATTTTCTCTATTTATATTTAAATAGTCTGATATTCATTCATCTTAAAATCATACATAATATTCAACGTTAAACTGGTACACAGTTAAAAACATTTTATTTAGGCCTATCTATGGCCATCAAAAACTTGACGACTCT